CAAGCCAGAGGTCAAGGTACGATCAAAGGATGAGACACTACAACTGTGGCCAAGAGGACCAAACGCCCTTTAGAGGGGAAGAAATCTGCCAACATCCATCTGTGTGCATTTCACTATCCTTTCCTTCATCTCTGCTCTCAACGTCCTTCCCACTATTTCATTTTGACTATGATGGAACTGCCCCCCTTTTAAAACGAAGAATGAAATAAATAAACCTCTCACTCCTCCCCCCTCCCCCAGGCTGGGCAGTCCATGCAGGAAGGTAAACATGTCCACTGTGGTGAGCTCAGACCACGCGGATGCCTCGCTCCAGGTAACAGTCGTCCTCCACAGCTCTGCGCCCACCAGCAACATCTCGGCATTCACGAGCGGCGCAGAGTAGCCGATGTCTGAACAAATTTCCGCTCCAGTGCCAAACCCTCCCTCCTCAAGCAAGGACATGCATGGATTTGATGAGGAGGTTGATTCAAATCAGGGTCAACAGTGTGCCCTCTACCTCTGCAGTACCTGGCTGATGGCTTATACTCTGTCTGAACAGCATCACCTTTGTGATATTTGAAGTGTTGACTTATTCGTAAAAGGAAGACCGGCTATTGAAGGCTCAGTGGGCGTTCAGACGGTAAACAGCCCTGTTGCAATGCTTCAGGTACCTGTGAGACGAGGAAGTTAGGCTTAAGTAATATATTCACAACTCCGATGCTCATCAGTCTCAAAAACACTGCATCGTAGTTTGTGATACTGTGAGCGAGGACACAGGGACAATTATTGTTCCTTCCAGATACCACTGGGTACAGCAAAAAGGAGACATCAGAATGTATTACGTTATGTGCTTTGAATGTGTCAGATGAACAGCAAACACATAGTCTTTCAAAATAATGCTGCGTCATATTCAACACAAAAGTTGCACCAGAATCAAGTTTTTAAATTGAGGCTGGATGCAAAAGCAAAGGAATCCCCTTTACTCCTCAGATCAACATGCTAATTTTGACAGCTGAAATAAACATGACTACAGCCTGTTACAAAAAAGGATTTGGTATCAATAGCTAATTTCTTTATTGGTACAAACTCAGCGGGAGGCAGAATTTTTTAGAACTGATCTGTTTTGATTTTATCAATCGTATGAGTTATTGATTTGCCTGACATTAGAGGCATGGCTTAGTTGACTGACTTGAAGCATTGTAACTGTTAAAGCCCACCTTAGCTCTACCTCTTTGCCTGTTTCTAAGTTGATCACAGGTTAGATTGAGATAGTATTTCCAATATGGCGACCGTCATCATTTAGGTGCAGAAACCAATGGACAAGTCCATGTTCTGTGTTAGTCATATACACATGTTGTGCACTAACGCATGATATAATACGGTTGGGAGTTGATGTACTCTTGTGTGTGTACACCCCAATTTAGAACAAAAGTGGCCTAGGCGTTTATCCATGAACAGGAAGTCGAACAGTCTAAACATGTAGAGGAAGCCGAGAAGAAAACATGCTGAAGGTATGAACATTGTGCGTGCTTGAGCAAGAACCACTAGTTAAACATATTGAAGTACATAGTAGCTCGAAGGAAAACTATTTGCTGCCTGCTTGTTTGTAGAACTTGTTGTTGGGTATGTGAAGTAATACGCCAACCAGAAGAAGATCCAATAGCAGCTAGCATGTCGCCACCTGCAGCAGCGGAGTGGGACATACTTTGATGAATAAATCGATTCTGCCCCAGTGCTTGTTTACTAGGACAAGGACAGTAGTCAAATGAGTTAGCCTAGTAAGGCTTTGCATGTAAACGAACCGTCTGAGACTACATCCATGTTTCATACAGTCTGTGGCCATAAAGCACATATTCCCCCCCCCCCCCAACGTTTCTTATCCTGCTTCAGGCTTATTATCCTAAACTGAGAGAACATCGCAATTATCTTTAATAACAGCTGTGACCTTTTCATTTAAAATACCCTGCTAAGTGTTCTGCCAGACCCCTGTCAGTCTTCTCAAGGTCAAGGTCAAGGTAAACTTTATTATCCCTGAGGGGAAATTTGCTTTACAGCCAGCAATGAATCTATTAACAATACATTACACACACCAAGGGTCAGGATTACATTATGCTGTTGAGGAGAACAATGATACCAGGGACAAATGATTTTTTGCACCTAGGCACAGCATACCTGGACCAGATGGCAGCAGCTTGTAGTCTGTGTAAAGGGGGTGAGTGCAGTCCCCAAAGATAGCCTGTGCTTTCTTTTTTGTAGCTCTGACTCTGTAGAACTGCTGAATCAATAGAGTGAACACTAACAACAAGTACAATATCACAGGATATAATATGATAAAACTTTACTGTCTCTGCAGGGGAAGTTTTCTTGGTTTCAGGTGCGGCTGCATCAACAGTAAAAGAAGTAGAATAGGGGGAAGCTGTGTCTCATGTTTAACGTTCATTTGCACAGCAGTTGTAAAAAACATCATTGTGAAGTTACGTATAAAAAAGGAATCTAATAAATGACAGATGCAGTAAGGACATGATGTGCTTCTTTCATTACAATTTCACTGTAATCCTGAAGTGAGAGTTTGCAATAATCAAATCGCAAAAGTCTGAATTTATAGTTATAAATAAGAAAAATGATTTGATGAAAACAAACACTGCTTTCTCTCTCAGTATGTGAACTTCTGAGGCCAGAGTAGAACCGCCATATAATCACACCTGTTTAATGTAGTCACAGACGCTGATAATAACTGAGTTATAGCTAAAATGCATTCTTTAGTTTTTCTGCAATTATCATAGTTAATTCCATTACAACAACTTTATTTCACGTTGAACATGTATGTTGATGAATTGTTTCCAGCTAACAGTCTGAAGCTGGGACGCTGGGGGACTAGCGGTTGGTTGGTGTGCAAACTATGTACAGAGGCTTAAATCTTCAAGAGTAGGCGGGTGGGGTTCAAATCCCACCTGTGGCTCCTTTCCTGTATCATTCCCTGCTCTCTCTCTCTCCCTGGTTTCTGACTCTCTCCACTTTCCTGTCTCTGAAATGAAGGCATAAAAAATCCCCCAAATAAATCTTGATGATCAAAAGACCCTCAAGGGAACTAACAAAGATAGATTTATTTTGTGCTTGTTTAAAGATTAACCTACAAGCTTGGTGCATAACTGGTATAAAATAAAACCATATTTAATCCATCAAAACACATTTATATCTACAAAATTGTGTATAAAATCTTCCTACTCCTGTCGGGTATCCCTTTATGCACAATCAGGAAGAAGATCTAGTATCCAAACTACCTCAGGAAGGAAATTGCAACTGTTTCACAAAGTGAGTTCATTTAAATGGACATGGTTTACATGTATAAATATGTTTTTCAGTTTCTAGATGCTATTATTGTTAACTGTTAATATGTTTATATTTGTGCCGTTTCTATTTTTGTATTGCTGCAGGGCACCCCTGGAAAAGAGACCTTGGTCTCAGTGGGTCCTCCCTGCTAAATAAAATAATTTTTTTTTTTTTTTTTTTAAAGTGTGGGAGCAAATTAACTGCACTTCTATTCTTCAACAACATTATTTTCTCCCCTTTAATATTAGTAAGTACTTGTGGTGCAGAAATGTTCAGTGCACAAAAATAACTGACTCGAGACAGCAGTGAAACTGACAGAACCAATTGTGTGACAACTGTCACACAGAAAATTCAGGTCAACCGTTTGGCGTACAGTACATTTGTGTTCCTAGAGTCCAGCCTATACGCTGCATAATCCGGTTCCTCTAGAAAAGCGTAGGTGGACAAGGTGTGGGCTGATGTTCATTACTTTCCTCTCTGCCAGTCGATACTCTTCCTTAGTCTTCAAGCTCTCCTGTGGAGATACTATGTATACCCTATCTGCCAAATATGGCACAAGTCTGTGAGTGTGTGTGTTTATGTGTGTGCACAGAGGAAGCAGAGAAAATGATATGATTAAGGTGACAGGAATGTACATCCATATCCAAGATTTCGTCTCTAATAAATTCACTAAATAGTACAGAGAGTTCTTCTTTGACAACATTGTGTCAATGGCTACTCTGCTACCACCACCCACTGCTTAACCGTGTCAGTGAGTCTGCCTCGCCTTTGAAAGCTCTTACATAGAAACCTCTGGTAAGTGACAGCATGCTTGTTTGGAAGAAGAAAATGTCACCATAGAGCTCCCCTAAGGGCTGGAGGGTGTAGAAACTTTCCTGCCTCCAAACACTCAGGTAGAGAAAGAAGAATAAAAAATTCTATCAGCAATGCAGCTATGTAGCATAAATTTGACTTTGGTTCAGTCCACTCAAATCTTGCAGAGAGAGATAAGTCTCAGTGCTGCGGGTCTGAGGGACATGGGGACAAAGGCTGTGAAGTGAGGCTGATGATGGTTGCCGTTTCCCTTATGTTTACCATCATTTTCTCTCGCAAACAAGAGGCCAGGCTGGAAAAGGCCAGAGAGCCAGGGCCTCCAGCGAGCCGGCAGAGCAAGATGGGGGGGAGTGACAGAGAGTGAAAAGAGAACTAGGGATAAGGCACAGAGTGAGAGAGAGAGAGAGAGAGAGAGAGAGAGAGAGAGAGAGATGGATGAAGGCAACCACTGATGAGAGAGCAAGAGAGATAGAGAGAGCGAGAGAACGAGATGGAGAGAGAGAAGGAGTCCGGGCTAAGCTGCCTCCAGACACCACGCGGCTCAGAGCAGATCGAGAGTGACGGCTTGCTGATTAGTCAACTCACAGCCCCCAAGACCGGAGTCTGCATATATGCACACTTACACACACACAAACACACACACTTGCATTGTCGCAAATTTAAATAAACCACTACGATCACAATTACTGTTATTATTGCACATATATAAAACATAGCAAACAAGTAAATAAATAAACACTGATTATAATTCAGACACAAAATCTACTTTAAGACTACAACGTATGCAGCACTGTATGCAGGGTGAATATGTGTACATAATGTGAAGATGTTGAATACCTCATTCATCATGGGTATTTGTGTGAATGTATTTTTTTTACCTTGAGGAGATAGACCGGGATGTTGCTGAAGTCCACGGGCAGTTTGAGAAGGAAACGTGCTGAAAACTCTCCTGTCTGGAGTACAAGACACACAGGGAAGAACTTGCTAGTACTAAATGGACAACAAACACGGCATGTGATAAGAAAAAGAGGGAGTTAAGGTGTAAATAATTACACATGTTAACACAAAACAACTCACAGTATGCAGTTTATTAACAACAATGCAGTAAAAGATTGCTTGGGAATTCATTGTGCTGAAGTCCTTTAGTTTAAAAATAAATACTATGTATTGAAAAAGTTTGGTGTGTGCCTCACATCTACTAAGATATGATACTGTTCAATACACAGGTCGGAGTAAACATCATCAGCACTCGTTTTCAAAAGGCACCCCTCAGGGTTGTGTCCTGGACCCACTGCTGTTGTATCTCTACACAGCCACAGTATAATACAGCACAAGGACAGGCAGATTTAAATCAACAGGCATGACCTGCAGTAAAGGTCACTGGACAGAATTAAACTCGACGTCAAAGTTGGCCATCTCTAAACTTAAAAAAAACAAACTATGATACACTCTTATCTTCATGTTTTTGAATTCATCTAAACACATAACCTGATATGATGACCTTTATCTGTTGAACTTAGGCACAGTCTTCCAAACATCAGGACCCACTGGTTTGCAAAGAAGCTGTTTTTGTGAGTTGATAGTGAGACCTTAGCTTTTCAGACCAGTTCATAACACATCATTACGTCTTGGTACATTCATATTGATTCTGTGATGGGGTAATATTATTGTCCCAGTCTGTGAATTCAAATAGTGGTTCATCGCTGTGGTAGCATGACAATGTATTTGAACAATGTTTATTGTTTCATGAGTTCTTGAGACTATGTATTGAAAACTGTGTCTTTAAAACAGGCATAAAGAAACTGCCTGTTTGATGTCACATTTATCTAAATATAACACACCATGGGGCTGACGTTGGTCCATTTGTGCAGTAACACAGGAAGTCTGTTAATGTGCCATGTTTTATGGAAGTTACTTTGGAAGCCAACATAAAAAATGTAAAACAAACACAAAATAAATAAATTAATACTAAATATGATTCTATTAAGAGTCAATTTTAAATCACGTCAAGGAAGTAAACAAACTTTATCATGTCATTCTATCTCGTCTAAAAGTGTATAAATGTCAAGTATTGATGTCTCAATTAAAGACTGAACAAGCTAGAGCATTAGCATGGGAACAAAGCTTCAAGTGTAACAATTCCCTTTGGGTATTTTTGTAAGTACATTATGTACCATTCCTGGATTGGTGTGTCTGGATTATTACAAACAAAAGGTCATTCAACGTTTGCCTACCCAGCTGTTCTTGCGTCCGGCATAAATCTCCATGTTGCGGCCATAGTTGGGATCCTCCAGCAGGCTTCCGTACTCAAAGAGCAGCCTGGAGCTTTCTCGCAGACGCTGGCACTGGTAGTCGTGGTACTGCTGGATTAGCTCCTTCACCAGCTGGAGCAAACATTCTGGGTTCCCTGCATCCCACTGGACCAGGTGCTGAAGGAGGCACAAGAGAAGAGTCATTAGGACCGGTGTAACACATGCGATTTATCCTTTAGTATTGTAACATATAAGATGAGTGCAATAGACTTCACAAACTAAAGCGATTTGTAAGGATGTTAGTGTTATAAATTCTGATGCTTGGATACTTTGCAAAACTGCATGTGTTAGAAGTTAAACGATACAATCTGTTCTTTTACAGTTCATTTGATAGTATCCATAAAAAAAAGAAGCTCACAAAATCAAAGATATTCTCCTTCCTCTATTGGGGCCCCCTAGGGGTCTATTTTGGGTTCCCTCTTACTCACTGTTTACATGCTGCCCCTGGGGCAAATCCTGCGTAGGCGCGGCATATACTTTCATTGTTACACTGATGACACTCAGCTCTATGCCCCGTTAAAACCTGGCACCTGCGATCTTTCACGCATCATGTCCTGTCTGGTAGAAATTAAAAAGTTGGATATGAAACAATGTTCTACAGCTCAACGACTCCAAATCTGAAGTTCTTCTTATTACTTACTCTGGTCCCAGTACTAGCTACATTAATAATCTCTCTACCAGTCTGGGTGCCCTATTTAATAATGTTTGACAAGAGGCCTCTAACCTAAGAGCTAGAGCCATCTCTTGATACCCAGGTGACCAAAGTGATGCAGTCCTGCTTTGCTCAACTGAGACACCAAAATCAGGTCATACCTTTCTCCTGGTGACTTAGAAAATAATCATCCATGCATTTATTTCTTCCACACTCGACTAGTAATGCACTTTATTCTGGCATCAGCAAGCGTAACATCTAAAGACTGCATTTAATTCAAAGCGCTGCTGTCAGTCTATCACATACCGAAAAAAGTGACCTCATTACGCCTGTCCTTACTTCACTTCAATGGCTACCTGTGAGTTTTAGAACTGTTTTTCAGGGTCTATTGCTTGTTTTTAAAGCGTTGAATGGCCAGGCCCCAACCTATATTTGTCATCTGCTCACTCCCAATGAGCCAGAACCCTGTCTGGGATCCTCCATCAGGGTCCTAGAAGTGGTTCCAAAAATGAATCTGGTCACAAGAAGGGACCAAGCCTTTGCAGTTGGAGCCCTACAGATGTGGAACTGTCTGGAGATGTCAGGCAGGGGAACGTTGTGTCCTCTTTTAAATCTCTCCTGAAGACTCACTTTTAGGGATTGGCTTTTTGTTATCTTTTGGCATTGTTGGTGTTGTTGTGTACTACTTAACCAGGTTCTTGAGTTTTATGAGTAGTAGTAGTAGCCTTAATATACACCAGCTCCATTGTTACTGGACTTCCCAAAGACATTTTTAACATGGCACATGGCAAGGTTTCTTAACGGTTGCCAACCATATCCCTTTCTATCAGTGTTGGATATAAAGTATGACAACGTGCAGTTATCACCAAAGTTCTCTTTCTCCATGGGTCACAGCTCAGCTGAAAATTTGCCCACATTCCTTTTTTATTGCAAACTAGCTAAGTTCTGACAGCTAAAATGACATCCTGATATGTGAGCGCAGTGCTTTGGCTGGAAAGGGTTATTCAGTCATATTGATTGAAGCCAAAAAGGCCCACAGCACTCAAATATCAAGTCTGATTCATGTGGTAAGATGACAACCCCTAAAGAACGGATCAATCATTGAGACTCTGAGTGACACTTGAGAAAGCATTGGGAGAAAGCGGAGAATTACAAGGCAATAGTTTAATGTGTAGGAAACAGGCTCTTGTGCATGTATTAGCAGGGAAGACCATGGTAGAGGAAAAAAGGTTGTGCCGTGCGGTAGAAAGAAAAAAAGACCCAGTAGGAGCCTTCTGTACTTCCCTTTACCAGATCAGAAGGAAAGGGCTGAGCTGGAGGATTTCCTGTTGCCACATAAAGATTTACTGGTAAATTGATCTGGAAAAGTACAGAGTATGACCTCCTCTATCTGAGACTTTCCTCACCACTTTTGACCTTCAATCTGATATCTATGGTTGTTATTAATAAGGATGCAGTTTGAAGTATAGAGATAAATCTATCACGCCAAGACCATTTATCAACATAACTTCATGATGGAGCAATATGCATTACATTTTTTATTCAGTGTATCTTTTAAGGAAAGTCACACACGATGTTATCACTTTGTTTTGTGTCCACATGGTGACCATCAGGTTCTGATTAAAAACGCACACTGATTTTCCTATTTCTATGTGAGGTTCATCCACATGTCCTTTCATAGGAGTGTTTGTTTTTTTACTGTTCTGTTCTGGGAGGATTTGTTGGGACATCTTTACTTGAGTTGACTATAATGTATTATCAGTGTTTTTAATTTTTAACTTACAGTCTATTGGGACATTTCCGTTATGGATTTCAATTCAGCCTTCGGTTCCTTTAACTTTAATTAATGCATTTATAAGTTATTACCTCTTTAGCTTAGCTTTAGCTTTTGGTATGTGAACTCTCAGTGAGGAAGCTGATGCTTGGATTGATTCAAATTTGATGCTGTGATGTCGATTGGTTGCAGGCTTGAATCCACTTCCTACTAAAAGTAAGTTAGACAGTATGCTGGAGTTTGTTTGCAATTTCTGACATAACTTTCTTACGCAACTGTCTTATAAAATAGATTTGTTGTGTTTTTTTTAAACGAAATCAGTGTAGCATGCATACCTAAATGCTCCATGATGCACACACTTTCCCTCCCTGACCAGCAGACTGAGGCCACACATCAACATGCAAATTCCCAAGAAAGAAGTACAATCATATGCACCCACCTGTCACGTATGAGTAAGCAGAGCAAACTCTACGTGACCCACTACCAGGCTTATTCTACCGCACAGAGGTTTTCCCTCTTTTGGAACCGGTCCACTGATGCGCGAGGAACAAAATGCTTATAATTAATATGAACAACACTGCAACAGTAAATTGCAGGAAACATGTCAGGACTAATCAAGACAAAAGGGTGACTGAGCACTTTAGAATGAATGCTGTGAGAGCTTTATAATGGAGAAGCTGAACACGCAAGGCAAAAACAAAAAAAGCCCATAACGGTTTTAATGAGAGCTTTGAAATGAATGTGAATGTTAGTTTAAAATGATTTATGCTTCAGAAGAAAATGTCCCTCTGTAAATTCTGGTTTATACATTTTTACAAAATTTGATACATGCTTTGGAGAAAGTTAAGATTGAATTTTCTGGGGAAACATTCTTGCTCCTGTCAGGTTAAGAGTGAAGACATTTGTAGATGATGACACGATACTTTATGACTAAATAAAATAGGTAGTAAGTGGCTTGCAGGAGTTTGGGATTTGCATAATGTGGGTCTTTCTGAGAAAAAGCGAAAGTGATTCCTTTTCCCAGCTCATTCTGAAAATGAAATACTGCTGGCATGCCTTTTCACAAAGCTGTCAATGCGCTTGCGGTACAATCTGTTTGTGAGACGTCCGACAATGCCGAGCCCGTAAGGCCTCTTCTCTGTGCAACTAGAGTTCATCATTGTTTCTCCCTGCCATGCTGAAGCACTCAGGTCAATTAACTGATGCAGGTCAACATATATGTGTTTAAGCAAATCAGAATAAAGTGGTGTGAACTGAGTCAAAGGTTGGATTAATACATGCTGGAAATATTTTGTCCATCAATACCCAATACATCAAGATGTCATGAGCAGGATGTCTTTGACTTCAATTAACTGATCTGTCTGTCTGGCAGCCTATACCAGCCTAATGAAGAAAGCTTCCATTGTTTTAGAAGAGGGGGGTGGGGGGGAGGGTTACAAGGCCAGGCTAAACAGAGACAGTGACCTCATCATCCTGATCCACCAGTGGTTACCAGCAATGCCGGGATTCCCGAAAGGAGGGGGCGATGCAAACAAGGATGGGCATTGTCCAAAAGAGGCAGTCAGCGCTCCGGGGCAGGAGCGAGCTGAAATTAAGGAGAGACTGAGGAAGTGCTGTGTCAGGATTGTGACACTGAATATCAGTGAAACTCCACTGAGGAGGAGGAGAGGCAGGGAGTTGAGATCAGAGGTAGTGCGTTTCTTATTACTGTTTTAATAGCCCCATTGTGATGCGCATACCGAGACTCTGATTTGTTGTTGTCAACTGTCAACTTCGAGAAAATCATAGGAACAAGAAGTGGTCCCTTATGTAAGGACAGGGGTGCAGGAGAAACACTCCTTCTATAATTACAGTTAAGGTTTCCTCATGCTCATTAGTTGACCTCAAGTGCTCACATGCAGCTATTTACCGACCAATGACAGAGCAGCTGAGGTTGTTCTAGGCAGCTCCCAGGTGAAGCAGGGTGGAGCTGGAAGAGGTCGACTTCTCCCTGCGTAAACAAAGGCTTTCTCTAAGAGGAAGAAGAATACTGTGTCTGAATTTGTTCCTCAGTAATAAAAAAAAGGAGTGCACCACTTATTTTGACTGCATGAGTGTGTTAACTTACTTTCATAGCAAATGCAATGCACCTTGTTGGTACACTTACAGCCCCTTTTACACAGCCAGTTCAAGGCAGGACTGTTATGACTGTGAAATGTGGTGATGGTAACTGAGGTCAACATCTTGAATACTTAGTCCTAAGGATGAACCAAGCAGCACCGCTGGTGTAACAAAATGAAACCAGGAGAACTTGAATATGTGAACGAAGTTTCCTGGCAATAAATTGAGTATTCAGAGCTTTTGAAACCTTTAATTATTTATTCCTTTAACTTCCAATTCCAAGTTTAGTTTCTGTTAACATCCAAACCCCACTCTTAAATGGTAAGATGGATCACAGACAACCTGAGCAAAAGCATACTGCCTCCTATAGAGCTTATGGAATACAGAATACAAATGTCTGCCCAAGGCGCTTTTATTGTGAAATGCTGCTTGACTCACAGGAAGGAACTTACGGAGCGCCACTAGAGGGAAGACAGTGATATATCAAAAAAGTGTCTATTATGAGTAGACTTACAAGACAAACACGTGTTTAAATTTGAGTTTTCTAAGTCATCATGGCCTCTTAAGAGGTCAAATGTAAGCTTTTTGGCA